ACAGAATAACAACAAAATCCAGAAAAACGCATGTCAAAAATGTTATAAATTGATTTTCATTTTAATGAGGGAAATAAGTATTTGACCCCCTCTCAATCAGAAATATTTCTGGCTCCCAGGTTTATACAGGTAACGAGCTGAGATTAGGAGCAAACTTTTAAAGGGAGTGCTCCTAATCTCAGCTTGTTACCTGTATAAAAGACACCTGTCCACAGAAGCAATCAATCAATCAGATTCCAAACTCTCCACCATGGCCAAGACCAAAGAACTCTCCAAGGATGTCAGGGACAAGATTGTAGACCTACACAAGGCTGGAATGGGCTACAAGACCATTGCCAAGCAGCTTGGTGAGAAGGTGACAACAGTTGTTGCGATTTTTCGCAAATGGAAGAAACACAAAAGAACTATCAATCTCCCTCAGCCTAGGGCTCCATGCAAGATCTCACCTCGTGGAGTTGCAATGATCATGAGAACGGTGAGGAATCAGCCCAGAACTACACGGCAGGATCTTGTCAATGATCTCAAGGCAGCTGGGACCATAGTCACCAAGAAAACAATTGGTAACACACTACGCCATGAAGGACTGAAATCCTGCAGCGCTCGCAAGGTCCCCCTGCTCAAGAAAGCACATATACATGCCCGTCTGAAGTTTGCCAATGAACATCTGAATGATTCAGAGAACAACTGGGTGAAAGTGTTGTGGTCAGATGAGACCAAAATGGAGCTCTTTGGCATCAACTCAACTCGCCGTGTTTGGAAGAGGAGGAATGCTGCCTATGACCCCAAGAACACCATCCCCACCGTCAAACATCGAGGTGGAAACATTATGCTTTGCGGGTGTTTTTCTGCTCAGGGGACAGGACAACTTCACCGCATCAAAGGGACGATGGACGGGGCCATGTACCGTCAAATCTTGGGTGAGAACCTCCTTCCCTCAGCCAGGGCATTGAAAATGGGTCGTGGATGGGTATTCCAGCATTACAATGACCAAAAACACACGACCAAGGCAACAAAGAAGTGACTCAAGAAGAAGCACATTAAGGTCCTGGAGTGGCCTAGCCAGTCTCCAGACCTTAATCCCATAGAAAATCTTTGGAGGGAGCTGAAGGTTCGAGTTACCAAACGTCAGCCTCGAAACCTTAATTACTTGGAGAAGATCTGCAAAGAGGAGTGGGACAAAATCCCTCCTGAGATGTGTGCCAACCTGGTGGCCAACTACAAGAAACGTCTGACCGCTGTGATTGCCAACAAGGGATTTGCCACCAAGTACTAAGTCATGTTTTGCAGAGGGGTCAAACACTTATTTCCCTCATTAAAATGAAAATCAATTTGTAACATTTTTGACATGCGTTTTTCTGGATTTTGTTGTTGTTATTCTGTCTCTCCCTGTTCAAATAAACCTACCATTAAAATTATAGACTGATCATTTCTTCGTCAGTGGGCAAACGTACAAAATCAGCAGGGGATCAAATACGTTTTTCCCTCACTGTAGAAACATCTATGTTATGAATCTATACACTCACAGGGAGACTATTGTGTAAAAATCTTTATTTTGATCACAGAATCTTGTCCGCGAATGTATTTAAGCCTAAGCCAATTGATAAGCATTTGCTAGACAAGCAGGCACACTTCTGCACACCATTTTTCCAAGACATTTCGTTAATTGCATAATCTTACCAATGAATTCATTGAGGTCTACTTTTGTTTTCGGGACATGTTTCTTTATTACTATTTGTATGAATATTGTCTCGTAAATTTTTAAGGACTTTTCCTATGATCACTTTACTCTGAGGAATGTGCCAATTGTTCTGCTACCCAGTTGAACAACTGTTAACCGATCAGGGTCGGAACTTTTCTTCCCGGTTGCTCAAGGAGGTCTGTGACCTCCTCGGCACCAATAAAATCCGGACCTCGCCATATCACCCTCAAAATGACAGGATGGTGGACCGATTGAATCGCACCCTCACATCCATGCTGTGTGAATGTGTCTCAGTGAGACTGGGACTTGCTTATTCCGGGTGTCCTCGCCGCATATAGGTTGGCTCCTCATGCCTCAATTGGGTTTTCACCCTTTTACCTAATGTACGGGAGGGAACTGGAGCCCCCAATGCACATGCAAATGGGCCTGGAGCCGTCTAAAAAGAAATCCGCGGTGCCTGCTTCGATGAGGGCCACGCTCGACAGGCTGCATGATGCATGACAGGCGGCCGTGGACAATTCGGCCAACCGGCAAGCGGCTAAAGAATGCTTACAAAAGCATCATGGTTCTGGGGTTCCATGGGTAAAAGGGGAGAAGGTGTGGCTACATTGTCCACAAGTGCCCATTGGGACATCTCCAAAGTTGCATCGCCCTTGGCAGGGCCCTGTTATGTTCGTGGAGGTCCGCCGGCCACAGTGGGTGCGCATCCGCTTCGGCCGCCAGTACTGGATTGTCCACCCATCTAGGTTGAAAAGAAACGTGTTGCCTTGTCCTGTTGAATCATCCCCAATTCCGGAGTGGCCAGTGCTTGATGCGTCCGACGAGCCAGGCCGCCCGGCCCGGGATGCTATGCAGTGTAAACCCTTTGTCTGTACGCCCAGAGAACCTCTCCAAGTAGCTCCAAAAGTGCCGCCTGTTGGGCCCTCGGCGACGACGCCGACATCGGCGGGTGCTCCGTCTGCTCTGACACTGGACGCCGCCCATGGTAGTGGACGGGCGGCACATACATGCTCCAGGGGCACTCGGTTTCGCTGACCGCCATCGCTGACACATGGTCGGCGCCTCGCACCACAGGATGAAGGCCTTCCTACACTTACCGTCATGCCTTATCATCCTTCTTGTTCCCCCGCAGATGGCTCTGCCTTCACACCTGCATCCACATCGTTCTTGTTCTTTGTGTTATAATTGTTCTGATTGTTGGTTGCTAGCTTTACGGATCGGGCTCGATGCGGGGCTAATTGTGTATAATTCGCAGCCGGGACGGCTGATTTTTCTTACGGGGGGGGGGGGGGTGATGTAGAGGAGTAGTGGGATGAAGTCATGTCATGGGCGCCGCAAGGTGTGATGACGTCATGTCATGAGCGCTGTAAGGAGAAAACCTCAAGAAAGGGGGCAGGTCCGAGGGAAGGGGAGGAGCCGCCAAAGGGAGTACTTAAGGGGGACCCCTTGACGAAGGTGGGGTCGTTGTGGAAGCCCAGGGTGTGGATCGGCTGAAGGAGGTCTCTCCTGCTTGTGACCGGACGGTATAGGCTGAACCCCCGTCCGGGCTCGATGAGTGGGAGAGCCAAAGGGATAGCCAAGCGTAGGACTCGACGGAGTCTGGAGAACCGGCTGAGAGTGAGAGAGCTCACGGGAAAACCGAGGTCAGGACGAGTAGAGCCTGGGGGTCCACGGGAAGGACCGAGCGAAGCGAACACCTACCTCTGGTGTGAGCCGAGTATACCCTTAATAAACGGCAAAAGCCCTTGCATGAAGTTCCGTCTCTGCATGGTTCTACGCCTCAATAGTATGAACACAGATTAAACATGGACTGCAAGTAGGTGCTGGCTGAGTGCCAGCATCAGATTGGTGGTGCAGGATCCTGGAACCTGCACTCAGATATGCAGCTCAAGGGGTGAAGGTTCACAAAGAATGCCCGGTGAGGATGCAGTACGGTTGACAGGAATCCCCATTGAGGGTGTGGTACGGTTCGTGGGAATCCCTGGTGAGGGTGTGGTACAGTTCATGGGAATCCCCGATGTGGATGCGGTACAGTTCATGGGAATCCCTGGTGAGGGTGTGGTACAGTTCATGGGAATCCCCGGTGTGGGTGGGGTACGGTTCATAGGAATCCCTATTGGGGTGTGTTATGGTTCACGGGAATTGCCGGTGTGGGTTGTGGTACTCACTCTGATCTGGGGTCATAACATAACGCAGCACGTTCCGAGTGCTCCATTCCATGGGTCTCTGTAGGGAGTCCGGGATGTTGGAGGCGTTCGGCGAGAGGAATATCAGAATCTTCATGAACAGTTCTGAGAGACGACGTGACTCATCAGACACAGTACTCTTGTCTGTATGATGTGAGAAGTTACACAGGGTCATGTGTTTTAACAATCAACATGTGTTGTGTCTGTACACCTTCATTTTGTTGTGCGAAAAATGAATTCCCTACAGCAGATAGCAGCCCTCTTTTGCTGTTCCTAGGAAGAGCGTTTACATTTTGTGAAAATATGCAGACAGCAACGTGAACCTGCCTCAAATGAGAACAGCTGATAGTGCACGTGTGGTATCAACCGCGTGACTAGTACAACTGTCCATGACTTTGTACAGATAAATTACAGCACCTGTGCTGATGCAGGAGCTTGTGGCTGCGCTGCACTCGGCCACATTCACTTTACTCTCGCACCCTCTTGGTGTTCATTACTCCACAGTCACCTATATTGAACTGCACCAGGACATTTCAATGTAGCGATCTGCACCAGTGAAGAATGGAGAATCGTCCACAGTGTGATTGTGGTCACCAGTCTTAAACCACAGACATGTCGTACATCACTGCCTGCATCGATCGGTAGCTGGAGGGATTTCAGATATTCCCAGGCTACTCTGAAAGCCACTCACTGGTACACCAACCTGGACACGGACATTGACAAGTTGCTGATCAACCCCCATCATTGGAAAGAAGGGTCACAGCTCGCATATAGCCTGGTTCACGTGACTCTCTCTGCACCCGGTGTGGGGAGAGGAAGTGACACTGCAGGGCTAATGCAGGGTGAGAGAGGAGAGGCAGTGACACTGCAGGGCCAATTCAGGGTGAGTGGGGAGACACTTCAGGGCTAATGCAGGGTAAGGGAGGAGAGGAAGCGGCACTACAGGGTGAGAGGGAATGTGGGAGGGGCCTGAAGCACAGTCACAGAGAGGCCACGAGGCCCAATTTATGAGCTGAGTGAGGGATTCTCACTCAGATGATCGCCCAGTGGTGAATGGGGCACTGAGGTGCTGGGACCACACATGTTCCAGTAACTGGAGGCGTGTGGACAGCAGTGTTCACAGCCAGGTCCATCAGGGAGATGGAGAGTTTATCGTTGTAGTGCAATCGCTGTGCCGTGTAGTGAGGAGCAGCACCCACCTATACCCCCCTCCTTGTGGAAGGCTCTTGCAAGGGCATATTTTTCCTCCTCGTTGTATGGATCATAGATAATACGGATCCTCTGTAGGATTGGGATGGTGGAATTGTCAAACCTGGAAAACAAGGAGTACGGTTGAGGATTTTAGTTACTTTATTTTAAAATCAAATAGAATGCTAATACACAAATGTAATAGATAGAAATGGAATTAATATTTATGCAGAGTATTATAGATTTGTTTGATATATGTTTTCAGATCGGTGTATTAGATTGTGAACGATTAAATCTGACCATCCAATGTGTTAATGTTCAATTAAAAGTTTCTTGTCTGACTGTAAAAGCAAATTTTATGCAAATAAAAATAAAATGCCTAAAATATTATGTTATGTAACTTCTAAGCAGTGTTATTATCATGCTTTTTTGCCCAGGAAAGTCTCGCTGGGTATCATGACTTTCTCAGGAGAGACCTGCCAAGTTTTACAGCAGGTGGCGATGATTTCTGTAAATTCCAATGGAGTAATTTGTGGGTTCTGTAATTAAATCTTGATTTAAAGCTTTCGTGACAACAGGAATTCATACTCTTTGGGTCTTTCGGTAAAGTCACGTAGACAGAAAAAATATAATATATTTCCTGATGACGATTGCTTGTGTTGCGATGGAAACGTCGTGATTTTTATTTTGTATAATTTTTTATAATTTTTATATTTTGTACTATTTTTCTATCCACGTGACTTTACCGAAAGACTCAAAGGCTCTGTAATTGTAAAAAATGTGGCCAAGTTAGACCGTGACACCGGCATACACCGGCCTGCTCTTGTGAATGACGCCGTGGGATCTTTACCGCCCACTGTGCAGCAGGCGCCGTATGTCTGTATATTGATCACGGTGCGGTAATAACCGCAGTGTGCGCTGAAGTCAAACTGTGCAGTCGGCGACAAGCAGCCCACGCGTCCTCGCGTGGGCCACCCGGATCATGCAGCCGGCAGTCACCTGCACTGCTGAGCTCAGGAGTCCCCCGTGTCTCGCTCGTTCTCTCATCTCTCTACATTTTCCCTGTGAATTCCTTCCATCTCCATATCAATCCCTTCCATATCTATAAGCCCTCTGTCCTCTCTCCTCTCTCTCAGCCGGGTGGTGGTGGCTATGTACGTGGCCTGTAATCCAACATTTTGGAGGTGGGGGTTGGTGGATCGCATAAATATTGTGAAACCTCCTTCCTGTGGGCGTCGAGTTGCCAAACCATGGATCACCAGGAGAAGGCAGTAGAGCAAGTTAACTAATAAACTGCTTCTATCTGTACGGGGATAAATGTTGCCCCCTTCTGCACATGGGTGTCTATGGGTGCTGAAAAAATGTCTGAAAACGTCTTAACATAAACACTGTCTGCAAATCCCTCTCATATCAAATTTCTCTCCCTGTGCTTCTTCCAAGGCCTCAATTCCCATCGTTCTCTATCACTGTCTGTATCCTAATGCCTCCCCCAGTGTCGCTTTGTCCCTTTACCCGTGTCTCTCTCAAAGTCCATTTATGTCTCATGTCCACCCTTCCCTCTCTTTGTGTCTCTTGTGTGTGTGTCCGTGTTTCCCTCAGTGTCACCGCACCTCCCCTAGGTGTCTCCACGTCCCCTGCCTCGGCCTTGCACTGAGATAAGTCGTTTGGGATTTAAGTATCGGCTGTACTCCTCACTGTAACCATTGAACCAGGAGAACATCACCTCTTTGTCTTTAGTTAAATCTCGAAGAAGCAGAGAACCCCATTGCGAGTGAGGAGACGTCCCTCTCACCTGGAGAGCTTCTTCAGGTCGTCCAGTAGAATCCGCACCTGCTCCGTCTTCTTCTTGAATCTCTCGTCTGTCACAGCAGCAGCACAATCCGGTTTACTGGGGTCGCACTCGAGTTCATTGACTCAAGCCAGATTATTGGGATCACATTGTGGATATACCACCTTCCCATGGCAGATGCCATACTCTCTACAGCATAACTAGCTTCTGAATAAGCAGATTTGCCCACCCAGGGAAATAGTGGGTCGAATCGTCCAAGAATGAGGATTTAACTCTGAACCTTCTGATTGTCAGCGGCGTTCTCTGCCACAACACCGACTGTCAATCCCCGTGCCTAAGGGACTGAACGTCAGCAATGCTCCAGCTACAAGACTCGAGGTGTACAGATCAGGGCCCTGAGAGCTCAACACGACAGCCGCTGCTGTAACGCGAATAGGGAGCAGAGTCGCTCTACGGCGCCCCCCACAGCCCCACGTTGCACGGGATGCGCGCCCCCCAGGTGCGGTGGCCGCGCCCTCCCCACGGCTCCCGGTGGCGTCACCACCACGCGCCGCGTCGCGCCGGGACGCGAGAGCCGCTGGAGAGCGGCGCGAGCGCAACCACCCTGAGCCTGCGAGCAGCGCACCCCACACGGAGGTGGAGAGAACTCCACCCGCAGTGGGACGCGTGGCGCTGCTCTAGAGGCCTCGCGAGTGACCAGGAGGGTTGTGAGGACCGCACCGAGCCCAGCGTCGAGGGAGCTGTGAGGGGCGCTCAGCGTCTATCACGCCGCCCAGCAATGCTTGAGGATGGAGACTCGGCGTGCGTGTGGCTCCTATGGTCACAGACGCGGCACGCAGGGTCCCGCACGCATTCTAGTGAGCCATGGCTCAAACTTGCGTGCATATTGAGCATAAATAAATTGAATTTTCAAGTGATGTGATTTTAGATATTTATATGAGTGGCTTCTCGAACAGAAGCCATGTCTGCGTCGAGGTTTGTACAATGAGGCCATGCGTGTACACAGGGCTGTGTCCTCAGACCATGTGTGAACACAGGGCTGTGTGCTCAGGCCATGCGTGTACACAGGGCCCTGCACACACAGGCTGCAGATTCACACGCTGCATGTAGAGGATAGAGCTATGGGGCTGTGGTGAGGAGGCTGAGCCCCGTGACCCCATGACCCAGGTGCTGAGGTCAGGGCTCGTGTGGCCCCGGGTCCCGGCTCCTGTACGAACCTGTAGCCATGGCTCCACGTGCTCAGCTCGCAACGTCACCGTCAACGGTGGAACCGCTCCCTCCTCACAACGCTGTGGGAACAGACGGAGCTCAATGAGATATGAACAGCTGGTGGGACAGAGAGGGAGATCAGTGAGGAAGGAACAGCTGTGGGAACAGAAAGAGAGGTCAGTGAGGGGGGAACAGAGAGTGAGATCAGTGAGGGGGGAAACAGAGAGGGGGTCAGTGAGAGGAAAAGAGCAGGAGAAAAATATCCCCATCACGATGGTAATTTACGTCACGAGTTACTGGACATGATCCTCAAAAGTAATGCACGAATTATCAGTAAAGTACTGAAAATACAGGGACGAGTGTGAATCCCTTGGTACTAGCGGACAACTGGGTTGTATAGATCAGAATGAAGGGCAAAGGGAGTTGAACAGCAACATAATTAAATCATTTATGCGTTAGATAATGAAATAATTCGTGCCCAATTACGGAATGTCAAACACATTAAGCTACGTTTATGCACAATCTCAGTGAGCTGTGTATCACAATAAAATAAACAAGTAGAGCCGTGGTGCAATGGTGTGCAGGCTGTGCTATGCACCTGGTAACCTGTGTTCGATTCCCAACCATGGCTAACTTCAGTGCTGAGTGATACCTAAATCAGTCCTGGACCTACACCAATAACCAATCCCAACTGACCTAAATGGTGAAGTATGGTCAAACATTCCTCATGAACTACATGGCATGGGAAAGGCTTCATTCAGAAGTAGATTGAAAAAAGCCGTAATTTATTATTTAATAAAATAAAGAGGCAGAGGGTTTCGTGGGCGAAATGAGAGAACATCGAATCCAATAACCAGTGGGCCCATCACGACAAACTTTGTCTCCATGGCATTCACTTAGACAAGGCCAGCCCTGACAGGGTTCGCCTCCACTGAGTCCCATCAGCAGGGTGTGGCCAGTAAACAACCGCCACTGGGTAACCTGGTGGAGAGCCATCCACCATCACCGTGGGGCTGCAGTGAAATGTAGGGCAGTGGGTATGGCCATGCTGTGCCCTGGCGAGTCGCAGGAGATGATGCGACTGAAGCAGTTAGCAGGTGCCTTGGGAATACCAGGTGCCAATCCCATTTACAGTTCATCATATCCATCAATCACTACCTGACCTCTTTACAATCAACCACAGACTATTTGTGGAAGGCCAAAGTCCAGTGATGTGTCTGCTCAAATGGACATTGAGGTGGTTCTCATATACCGTGTATAGCCCTTAGCCAGTGTTGCAAATGTCACAGTAGTATGGCGGGGGCGAGTGTATCCAGAGGACAACCACTGGTTGACTTCCCCACAAAGTGGTACTTATTTTATTGACACCAGATGGATGATGAACTCGCAGCCTCCCGACTGAGAGCCACGCACTCTCCCGCTGGGCCACCTGGTTGGCTGTGCTGTTATCAAGACAACGTGAACACAATTGCTACAGACACCATTAGAGTATTGCTGATAAACTGCAGATTATCACAGAGTTTAGTTGGTTGCTCTGTTGTTGAGAGGCAGGAACGGTGCTGTACGGTGTGAGCCCACGTGCGTGTGCAATGTGAGGCACATTTGCCAAGGCAAATGCTACTTAAATGTAAATGTTAAACTAAACTGTCGCTTTATATCGTAGACTCTGCAATAGAATTAGGGAATTTTACACACCGACTCAAATCACCAACAGACCTTATCCACAGACAACATTCATTTGGACATCAGAGACGCCACACGCCCTCGCCCATTCACCACATGGTTATGCAAGTCCAGTGTTCTAGTACCATGGCTACCACACCAGCCACCCGGTGCTGCCTCACAACTCGGAGGCACAGGGGCTGCTGCTGTGTTCGACGACTCAGCTTCTACATTCGCCCGACAGTTTCTGCGTTGAGCTCGGCAAGAGAAGTGTGGAGTGGGTGGCGGAGTGGCCGAGAGGGAACTCTGCTGAGGACTCGCAGCCCCAAGGGTGGAGCGGTCCCCGTGCTGGGGCCCACAGAGGCTCGCACGGCACGGGGCCTGCGGGGCCATGACGTGACCAGGACTGCGTGGTAGTACAGCAAGTAGGTTGCTGCCCTGTACTGTCTAGGGATGCTGAGTGGTAGCCCCTCGTATGCGAAGGGATACCCCCCAAGTTGTCCGGTTGCTCCCTCACGCATGAACGCTCCGTCAGGAATTTGCCAAACATCCCCCACAGGACCCTCGTTACACGAGTTGTGTCTCTGTGATTGTGTCTTCAATACGAGACAATCACCATTACACTTAACTACACCCCTAGACACACAACCATTGTATACTATTAAAAGTATAACGTCCATAGTGAAATGCACCCAATGACAACGCTGTGGCGTGTCGCACTGCACGGAGCAAGCCCCTCAGAGTGTCTGCAGGCAGCGCGAGACGGGGTCCGGGTTGGGGACGACACCGGCCTGAGCATCGTCAGCCCCGCAGTCTCAGAGGCCGCGGTTCGATTCCTGCACTGCTCGCTCGTTTGTGTCAGGAACGACCGAATCACGCGGTCGGCTCTCGCGTGGACGTTAAAGACCCAACCCTGACGACATTCGAGAGAGGAAACTACTTCGTGTTGGCATCACAGCACTCCTCTGGGTATTACAGTGATCTCGTCTAAATCACCAATCATGTACAACAGTCCCTATACCTAACTACAAACAACCCCAGGTCTCTCTTACTAAACACAGCAAGAGTCTCACTGGTTAAATAAAGGCCACAAGGTTAACAATCGCGACAGTTATAACTGAGTCGACACTGTCAGCAGTTTTGACCACCCAGTGACCACCCATTGGCTATGAGCCAGATCGCCGTGTTAATGAAACGGCTGAGAGACATCGCCCTGGCGATTTGTCCAATCATTGGCGACGGAGAGAGAAGCGAGAGGACGAGGCGCGTTCTTTAGCAGGGGAGCGAGCGCGGAGCCCGGCCAGAGCGCCCTGCGGTGCGGAGACGAAGCCACTCGCGACGCTGCTGCCGCTCTACACAGGCGCTACTGCTACTGCCGCTCTACAGGGGCGCTGCTGCTGCTGCCGCTCTACACAGGCGCTACTGCTGCTGCCGCTCTACACAGGCGCTACTGCTGCTGCCGCTCTACAGGGGCGCTGCTGCTGCCGCTCTACACAGGCGCTGCTGCTGCCGCTCTACACGGGCCCTGCTGCTGCTGCCGCTCTACACAGGAGCTGCTGCTACTGCTCCACACAGGCGCAGCAGCAGCAGCACCCAGCGAGGAGGGGCTGGAGACCGCCCTGGCTCGGGGTCACTTCACGCGAACCCCTTCCCTGTGCCTGCTGCTCGCACACCGCTGAGTCGCCGTGGTGGTGGTGGTGGCACAGGCGGCAGTGAGCGCGCGGTGCTGGCACGAGAAGCAGTGAGCAGTGGAGAAGTGGGACTCGCACTTCCACGGGGTCCCAGTCAGGGTCAGGATTACATACTGTAGTGTGGTTCTACATTGAGTAAGGCGGCTTAGAGATGGAGATACGGATATGTGGTGCCACAGCAATGGAGCAATTCCGCCGGCACTGCTATCCCCTCGCACCCCTCCACACGAACGCACACACACCCCCACTAAACACACACATGCACCCACGTAGGGTCTCGTGGGGGGGGGGGGGGGGTCACCTGGTACCATGGGTTTTTACCTGAGGGGCCCCTAGCGGGGATGTCCCACGGTTTCCCAGTGCCAGGAGATTGGCCGACCCCCCCCCCCGGCCGGATTACATGGTGCCCCCCTAAAATCAATGTTAAAAAGTCGTAGGGGCGCATAGAGCTTTACAGGCTGGCCGCGATTAAGCATACACGACACGGGAGATGGGGCCTCAAGGCAAACACCCTGCGGGCAGTGTAAACAGTGGGGTGGGAGGGAAACCCCCTAGGCACATAGGAGGATTTAAGAGAGAGAGAGAGACCTAGGGAATTACCGGTGAATCAGAGATGAGGAACGCAGATACAGGTACGATGGAAAGGGGGGAGAAGAGGGGGGATGACGTGATGCCCCCCCGTAACATCCAGATCATTCAAAACGGCCGGTTTTAAAGCAATCGATTGGACGCGCAGGATGACATCATATCACCCGGGGATTAACGGGCTCCGAGAGGATGAGAGGGGAGAGCGAATTGAGATGAGAGTTCTCCTGGAGCCGTGGTGAATCCCAGCCGCCCTCAGCGTCCACGTGACGCCTGCTGGGTGTAGCTGCGAACCATCGCCCAGGCAGAGTCTTCACTGCCCAGCGTCCTCCCCAACTCCCACCGTATCCGTGTGACGCCGTGAGTGTGCCTGCGAGGTGAGTGATCGTTCAGTTGGCCGATTCAGCCCAGTTTGCCATTAGCCCTAGCCTGAGAATAGTCGCACATCACGAAGGGTGAGAAATAAGAGGCTAGGCGCTATCCGTAGGGTGTTCGCTGGGGGGCCATAAACAGGGGTTCACTATTCACGCCGGGAATAAAACCTTGGTACAAGATTGATGGTTGACGCGTTGTGCGTGTGAAGAGTGGTGGAACAGCGATTGGTGCACTGTCGTGTGTGGGTGATAGAAATCAGTAGGTGGGTATCCCGCGAGCGCAGATTAATTAATATCCGAACAGCTGCGGAGTTTCTGCGGCGGTTAATCAATAACCACTCGTGGTCGTTCGCCGCGTTGACACAACGGCTTCGCTCCCCGCCCCCAGGAAGAGCGCGGACCCACACACAGGTATATTGCGCAATCAGCGCGGGCAAGTGGAACGCCACGAGTGCGTGCGTGTTGTGGAGTGAAGAGTGCCCTAGGGGCGCACGCGTAATAATCCCTAGGCGGTGGTGAGCCAGCCAGTGAGCGATGCCCCTCAGAAAGGGCACTGGTACGGGGGGGGGGGCGATCACCCGAATCGGCAGGGGCCCGGCGAGAAGCGGCCGGGGAGGAGGCCGGGGTGGAGGGGGTGGACATTGCGCCCTGCCCGCTCACAGGGAGTGGGGAGGTGGGCGTCAGCCCTCACACAGATAGACACGGGGTTAGAGACACAGGGTGAGAGATGGCGTGATTGTCAGGGTTAGAGACAGAGTTAGGGTGAGAGATGGCGTGATGGTCAGGGTTAGAGGCAGAGTTAGGGTGAGAGATAGCGTGATGGTCAGGGTTAGAGGCAGAGTTAGGGTGAGAGATGGTGTGATGGTCAGGGTTAGAGACAGAGTTAGGGTCAAAGATAGCGTGATGGTCAGGGTTAGACATAGTTAGTGTGAGAGATGGCGTGATGGTCAGGGTTAGACACAGAGTTAAGGTGAGAGATGACATGATGGTCAGGGTTAGAGACGGAGTTAGGGTGAGAGATGGCGTGATAGTCAGAGTTATAGACAGAGTTAGGGTTATACTGAGTTAGGGTTTGATACGAGTCAGGGCTGTGTGTACAGCAGTAAGAGTCACGAAACACAAATGTTTACATCTGCGGACACGGTATTTAACTTCCTTTAAACGAATTATGCACTGCCCCAGCTCGCCCTGCTCTCTGAACCCTCCCGTCTCTCACCTGGCTTCAGTGTTGACTTCGACATCACCACGAGAATAACAACGAGTGAGTAATCACCGATACGAGGCTGTGAGAGAGAGGTACTGGTTGTGAGAGAGAGGTACTGGTTGTGTGAGAGAGGCACTGGTTTTGAGAGAGAGGTACTGGTTGTGTGAGATGTGTTACCTTCCCGAATGTCAACGCTGAGATTGCCAGTGGAGCTCTTCCTGCCCCAGCGATTCAGGCGCAGATCTCAAAGACACGCAGCGCACAAGCGGCCACCGGGTTTGACGATTCGGTCAACCCCGACCTGGGACTACTCAGAGCTCTCTCACCTCTCTCAGCAGCAGCAGCGGCTCCTGCTGCTCCTGTCCCGTCTCTGCAGGCGACACAGCGATGAGCTCAGTGCATGCGACTTTCTCTTGAGCTCTGGCTCGCTCTTCGCTTCTACCCTCGCCTCGTCCTCCTCCTCACCAGCTCCTCACCGCTGAGTGAGCATCTCTCGCCCACTGATGCAGCGAGGTGCGAGTGGGGCGGGGAGTTTCACTTCGCTTGGCTCCCTGCCCCAGGGGCTTTCCAGGCTGGGACAAGGGGCAGCACCCGGGGCTGGCCATGCGCTCTGTTGGTGTTTATGTGGTGAAGGGCCATTGGCTAGCATTGTTTTTCAATATAAGAGAGCGTTAATAACCAATATGTTGGGTGATGATGGTTGTGTTTACACTGTGGTGTTATGGTGTGTGCATTGTGGTGTGATGATGGGGGTGTTTATACTGTGGTGTAATGATGGGGTGTTTATACTGTGGTGTATGGTACATGGTGTGTGTAGTGTGGAGTGATGATGGGTGTGTTTATGTACTAAAGCACTTCCACGACGACTGCTGTACGGCGTCTTTCTTTATTATATGACTGCACAGCTCTGCTCTCTCTCTTTCCGGATGGCTCCCCTCTCTCTCTCTGCCGTGGCGCGCGCCCTCTCCGTTCCAACGCTACGGCACGTCCCTCTCTCTCGCTCCCTGTCCGCCGCTGGCTGACGGCATGCTGTGAGGAGAGGCGGCTTTACTGGTAGAGCCGCCACGTGGCCGGTGGCGAGACGCAGCTCGGACTCCAGGCTTCTCACACCGACCAGGAGTCCTCCCACTGCCCCTCCTTATATTCTCCTCGGCGGAGCAAGCTCCGCCTCCAGACACGCCCCTTCGTAGAACCTTCTAGGCTGTTCTCGCACGTAGCCTATAGCTCCGCCAGTCACCTTTGGCCCAGATCAATCCCACACTTCTAATTGGGTATTAGTTGCCCATTGGCGGTGTATGCAGATAACCCCCGTTGTCCCCTAGATGGCGCTTTATCATTACATTTACACTGTATGGTGTATGGTGCATGGTGTGTGTAGTGTGGAGTGATAATGGGTGTGTTTACATTGTGTTGTATGGTACATGTGTTGAGGCATAGAATGACACGGAGACATAATTTCTTGTAAGGGCTTCTGCCGATTTATTAACAGGGGTACACTCACTCAGACCAGAGGTAGGTGTCCGCTACACTCGGTCCTTCCCGTGGACCCCAGGCTCTACTATTTCCCTAACCTCGGCTATCCCCTTGGGTTCTCTCACTCGAGTCGGGAAGGGGTTCAGCCACACCGTCCGGTCACAAGCAGGAGAGACCTCCTTCAGCTGATCAACATCCCGGGCTCCCCACAACGACAGGGTTCACCTTAAGTACCCCCTTGGGCGGCTCCTCCCCCTTTCTCGGACCTGCCCCCGCTCTTCTCAATATCTGCTTATGGCGCTCATGACATGACGTCATCACGCCTCATGGTGCTCATGACGTCACATCATCACACTACTCCTCTACATACCCCCCCCCCCCCCCCCCCCCCCCCCCCCCCCCCCCCCCCCGTAAAAACAAATTAGCCGACCCGGTTGCTATCTTAAGATTGCTATCTTAAGATAGCAATCTTAAGATAGCAATCTTAAGATTGCTATCTTAAGATAGCAACCAACAATTAGAACAATAACAACGAGAACAATAACGATGTGGAAGCGAGTATGAAGGCAGAGCCGTCCGCGGGGTAACAAAAAGGATAATAAGGCAGGATGGCAATGTAGCAAAGTCCTCATCCCACGGTGCGAGGTGCCGACCACATGATGGCGACGGCTGGTGTCCGACAACAACAGGACCAAGGGGGGGGGCAGTCAGCGGAACCGAGCGCCCCTAGGGCGTGTATGAGCCGCCGGTCCGCTCCCGGAGCAGGCGGAGCATTTGTTGACGTCAGCCTCGTCGACGGGGCCCCAACAGGCGGTGCCCCTGGAACTACTCGGGGAGGTTCTGTGGGCGCACAGACAGAGTGTTTACACTGCATAGCATCCCAGCCAAGACAGCCCAGTCCGTCGGACACATCAAGCATTGGCCGCTCAGGAAATGGAGATGAATCAACAGGACTAGGTGGCATAAATCTTTTTAGCCTAGGTGGGTGGACAATCCAGTGCCAGCGTTCGAAGCGGATACGAACACATTGCGGCCGTCGGACCTCCACAACCTCAACAGGGCCTTGCCAAGGGCGATGCAATTTTGGGGACATACCAACGGGCATCTGGGGGCAATTAAGCCAAGCCTTTTGACCTTTTACCCATGGAAGCCCGGAACCCTGATGCTTTCGATGGCCGCTTGTCGTGCCTCGCGCTGCCTGTCGAGCATGACCTTCATTTAAGTGGGCACCGCGGATCCCTTTTTCGATGACCCCAGGTCCATTTGGACATGCATTGGGGGCTCTGGTTCCTTCCCGTACATTAAATAAAAGGGCAAGAACCCCATTGAGGTATGAGGGGCCAACCTGTACCAGTACCCCCGGAACGAACAGGTCGCAGTCCGACTGGGACATGCTCACGTGGTGGCACAGCATCGACGTGAGGGTGCGGTTCAACCATTCAACCATCCCGTCAGACTGAGGGTGGTAGGGCGAGGTACGTATTTCCTTGGTGCCAAGGAGGTCGCAGATGTCCTTGGCAAATGTACGGCTGAAAACAAGGACATCGTCTTAGTAAATTAAGCAAGATTCCCATTGAAGACCCGACAAAACCATCTACAAGAGGCGTTGGAAGGTGGCTGGGGCAGAAATGGAGGCCCATAGGAAGCCGATTGAATTGGAACACAGCCCTTGGGTTGTGCGGAATGCTGTCTTGGGTCTGGAGGCCTCATCCAATGGCAAATCCAGAGTTGAAAAAAAAACGCGCACCTGAGAGGGTGTCGAGGGAATCGTCCATGTGAGGAAGGGGATAGGCATCAGCCACCGAAATCTTGTTTAATTTATGAAAGTCGACGCAGAAACGGAGACTCCCATCCCGTTTCTTGATTAACACAATGGAGGCGCACCAAGGGCTATTAGGAGAGATGATGTCCGCCGCCAACATCTGATCAACGGCCAGGCGTACATGTTCCTTCTCCCTAGGGCTGAAATGATGTGAATGAAGGTGAATAAGGGACGAATTCCTGTGACTATGTGATGCTCTAATGAGAACATGTGTCCGATATCGAATTTGCTTTGACTGAAGACATTGGAGAATCGCTCAATAAGCGCACGGAGCCGCTGGCGCTCTTCGAGGGATAATAGGGTGTTTTCCCAACACAGCGCATCAATCCAGGATGAGTTATGCTTCACATCCTGCACTACAGCAGCCACAACTCTCCCAGCCAGCATTGCGTCATCGGGTGGAAGAGCTGGGGTCGCGTGCGCCAAAACGGTGCCAGACAGAATAATTACCTGCGAAGGACCCGAATTAATAATTTGTAAAAAGGGCTCCTGGTCCTTTGACATGACCGTCAGGGCACCCACCAAGCAGGATGTTCTCGAAAAGTAGTTAGAGGGGGACAAAAGAATGCCCGCCTCTGGCGTCTGCAATTCCAGGGGTTTGCACAACATCTGTGACCTAGGAGGAATGGTAAAGGAATCCTTAGCCAAAGCTCGTACACTGGCGGCAAGAGGGGTCAACATGGTGGGGGAACGCAAGAAGTTCAACCAACGGCCCGATGGCTTCTCCACACAATCCTGCTCGATGAGTATTCTAATGGGCAGATTTGCCAAGAAATCTGTACCCAAAAGGCATGGCACTGCTAACACCTTTGAGACTAAGACGGCCCTTCCAATTCGATATCACCAATTCTGATGGAGGCAACAATGTGGCCTAATATACCTAAACTACCGCCATTTGCGGCAACACAAGCCCCTTGTACCGCCTCAATCAACCAACGCTGTGTGGCAACAATGATATAATGGTGGCCGACGCACCCGTGTCCACCAAAATCCGGTGGACACGGGACATAACCAGCGACCGCGGAGGAACCCGCCATGGCCGCCACAACCCGATGCGCAAGCGCATCCCGGAGAATAACGGCTAGCGAATATCGAGCGTTCCAGAGCTCTTAGTGCTGGCCGGGTGATCATGAACCCTATCCCCCGTCGGCTGGGCTCCACGGGGGTGCATCTCCGGGGCCCCGGACTCGGGAGACGTTGCGGGGACCTCTTCCATGCTGTCCTCGTTGTTCGATCTTGCCACAATTCGGTTCTTGCATTTTGCCACCAACTTTGACATGGCGGCGAAGGCTGGAGTCACTTCTGGCACCAGTTGTTGAGGCATAGAACGACTTCTTGGAAGGGCTTCCGCCGGTTTATTAACAGGGGTACACTCACTCACACCAGAGGTAGGTGTCCGCTACACCCGGTCCTTCCCGTGGACCCTAGACTCTACACTTGTCATAACCATGGCTATCCCCTTAGGTTCTCTCACTCGACTCAGGACGGGGGTTCAGCCAACACTGCCCGACCAAGCAGAGCAGAACCCCACTTACTCTAAGCCGGTTCTCACTGACTTCTTCGAGCCCTACCCTCCGCTATCCCTTCAGCTCTCTCAATCGTCGAACTCGGACGGGGGTTCAGCCAACACCGTCCAGTCAGGAGTGGGAGAGACCTCCTTCATCCAATCCACATCCCGGGCGCCCCACAACGACCCCGCCTTCATCACGGGATCCCCCCTTAAGTAACCCCTTTGGCGGCTCCTCCCCCTTTCTAGGACCCGCCACCGTTCTTCTCGATATCTGCCTACGGCGCTCATGACATGACGTCATCACACCTCACGCCACTCATGATGTCACGTCATCACACTACTCCTCTACACATGTTGTGTGTAGTGTGGTGTGATGATAGGGTGTGTTTACACTATGTGGTGTATGGTACATGTTGTGTGTAGTGTGGAGTGATGATGGGTGTGTTTACACTGTGTGGTGTATGGTACATGGTGTGTGTAGTGTGGAGTGATGATGGGTGTGTTTACACTGTGTGGTGTATGATACATGGTGTGTGTAGTGTGGAGTGATGATGGGTGTGTTTACACTGTGTGGTGTATGGCACATGTTGTGTGTAGTGTGGAGTGATGATGGGTGTGTTTACACT